AGGCTTGAATTGCTTAAAAGATTGTCAGAAGACTGTCTGATTATTAAAATAACATTGAAAGAAATGTGTACAGGAGAAAAACATACTACGTATATACTATGTAGTATGTAGTCTAGTATTATCTACTTGTAGTACGAGGAGTGCAGAGATTCCCTTAACAAGCCCTAAATAATCCGGTGTGCCATCATGAATTTTAACTTTGATTTATTTAACCATTATGACTATTTAAAAATCCTGAAAAGTTAAGCAGATGGTGTTTGTTCAGATAAAACCTATAATCTCATATTTCATGACTTTTCATAGCATGCCTTTATTTATCATATAGTGAATTTTGGGAGGTGGGGGGGTTACCACTTATATCTGTAACTGTCTTTTTGGAGTCTTTTATGACTCTTATTGAAATCTGTATAAAATACTATGCTCAGCATTTGCAGCATACCTGGTTGCCTAGTAACAGATATTGTTTACACATATCTTGGTTTAAAGACTGCTATAACATAAGCCAGAGCTGATAAGTGAATATATAGGGGATTGTAGCTAGATTTAAATAATTACTGAGGGGGTTAAAGGGGTCGCTGATGGGATGTTGTGACAGTGAAGTGCAGGGCAGAGTGTGTGACAGGTCGAGTAGAGAACCAGGCAGGTTGCTAGCGGGGGAACCATAGCTGAACTGAGCAGAGAGCCCAGTGTAGTGTACTAATCCAAGCAAATAAAGAGTGAAATGTGGCTGCAAACTGGGGCGGGGCAGTGTGGACACTCAATGAGAGAGAGGCTGCAAGTCCAGTGTAGAGGAGGCAGATGTGCATGAGAAGACAAACTTGAACTCTTCTACAAAAAAAATTAGTAGGGTGGTGCAGTGGTGAGCATTGTCGCCTCACAGCAAGAAGGCCCTGAGTTCAAGGCCTTTCTGGTTAGAGTCTGCATGTTTCCCCCGTGACTATGCGGTTGTCCCCCGGTCTACCACCAATCTCAGTGGTGATTCTAAATTAACTATAGGTGTGGATTTAAACACGGATGGTTGTCTCTTGACAAATTGGTGCCCTGTCCAAAAATTACATCCACTTTCCCATAACATTCTTCTTTTACAGCAGTAGTCTTGCTGTGGCTTTTATTATTTTTTTACCTTTATGATATGTAATCAAAACAACATAAAACAATTGTAAAACTAAAAGCTCTAAAACCTAATGTTGAACATTGATTTCTGTCAAAGCTTACAAAAAATAGTTATTTAAAAAATGACTTCTTTGCTCTCACTGCTGCTGTTGCAGGATGGCATTAAAATCTAGGTGATTTAAAGTGCTGGTGGTCCTGGTTTTAAAATACAAAAATGTCAGGCTCAAAGCACTTAATGTTTTCATTTACATTGTCATAAGAATTCTCAACTCTCTGCTCCTTTGTTAAATGTTATCTTCTAGCTGGGAAAGGACTTGTTTTGTTCAATTTCAAGCATTTTGCAAGTTGATTGAGGCTTGCTTGCAATCATTTTTTTCCAACTGACTTTCTGTAAGACGAGCAGTAATCATTTCGTAATTGAAGTTTTACGGCTTTGAGTCAACATTGTTAGGTTGATTAGTGAGAAGATCTCTTTAGGTGAGAGCAAATTACCCCAAGGTCAAAATTAGAAGATTTTGATTGTCTGTGGATTACACTTCTGAAGTGTACAGTGCCCCAGTTTCCTTTAGTGATTGAATGCTGTTTGCTGCATTTGTCTCATCTTTATGAATCTTAAAACTCCATAGCCACCCAATAATCATTTCATTTGGAAAGCAGATTTTTGAGTCATGATTTTTTTCTTATTAGATTTACTGATGTAACCTCTTACTGTTACCTGTTAATAAACGAGAGTTAATAGACGAGAGCAATAACACAAATTAAAATGTACAGTTCTTCCATCGAAATAAAAATTTGCAGTGCTACATCGGTATGTCAACCAGCTAAACCTGTGAATTAACTTTAGAAACCAAATTAATACTTTGTGTCTCTTGGCGTAGCTTCAGCGTAGGCCATTATGCCTTTTGTACATAAAATTTTTCAACACAGCATGAGAGGTGGGAACAAATATGTCTGCACTTTGTCCATCTGGGGAGCTTAAGCTGATTCTGATTGCATTATTCAGTGCTGCTTAAAGCACTTTTCAGTCTTTCTTTACAATATCTACACCACAAATCAAGTGAATGAAGTGGAGTATGCTGTTTTCACACAATCTTTACACATGAAATTTCCAAGCCAGCATGTGTGGTTGTGCATACAGCATGACATCGTTACTGCACATTCTCTTGAAATTTTCTCACAACTATTCCTGATGGTGTGAAATATCCCACTTTCTTTACTTTACCTGTACATAGAGAAGTGAAGTAGAGCTAAAAAAAACCCAGTTCTTTCATCTACTGACGTATGACACTACATCACTGACTTCCTCATTCACTTTCGATTTGTATTGACCGTTGCCTACAGCTCATATCAATGTGTGTGCTGCTTTGATATTGGCGCATACCAAATCACCAGCCTTTTTGAATTGCAACCACGACATTGTACCCAAAAATAAGTGTTATAGGAGGCATAGGCTTTCTATTATTAAATCTGGTTAAAAATACACAAAGACTGCCTAAGAGTGTTAACTGACTTCAGATATCAGATCTTATGCTGCTGCCTATCGCTCTTTTTCAGCTTTGGAATCAACTGTATCGTTTGCTCCAACTTTTTCTGCTCTGTTTTGCTTTTGAATTGTTTCCTATTTTTATTGCTTGAATGGTCTTCATAAGATAGACACAACATTCACGGCTCGCAGAATATTTACACTTTGATCCTTATCTGTTTTCTTCCCTATAGCTGTACACATATGTGTAGCGTCATGTCGCTCCTGTATACCATCCTCTCTTTTTTTTTCTCCATAGTATTGCATAAAACTTGCCCTTTCCTTGCAGTGTAAAACAGACTTCCTTCTGCACACACACGCAAAAAAAAATCTTTTCTATTCTCTACTTTTAGGATGGGGCAGGTCAGATTGTTAGATGAATGCATAAGTCGTTTTCTGATGGTGTTTACTTATTTTCTGTATTTGTGTTTGTTATGGTCTGCCCATTTTACCCTGCATTATTATTTTGAATGCCGCAGGAAAGCACAGACTGGGGATTTTTGGTGATGCCTTTTAGCATATTCTTTTACAAATCCAAAGAGCCACAGTAAAGTGAATTGGCCAGAAAATGTCTTTTATATTCTTTCATTATGCTGGGAGGATTTTTCGATGGGAGGAAAGCCTGAAGTAAAGCGTCATTAGAAAATATCACCCGCTGCTAAAAGGTGTAAATGTGGCAAGAAGTTGGGATCATTTCCATTTTGTAGTGAACACGACAGTGAGCACATTTTGCTTCTATGGGTTTGTGTGTGTTTGTATTCGTATCCATTTGAGTGCAGCATTACGGTTGTGCTTTGATCGCAACATAGGAAAGTTATCACTGCAAATGGAGGTGCTATTCTTTATCTCTGCTTGGTTCTGCCTTTTGTCTTCAAACCAGACTCTTCACATCTTTTCTCTCCCACTGCCGCAACTACCACTTAAAGCTACATACACACACACGCGCGCTCACACGACCGTGCGCCCGGCTAAACACTGCTCTAACACACATATGCAAAACTAACAAAACAGACTGCCTGTGATCCCTTAAAGAGCTTCTCAAAATGAGTGCAAGTAACTTTTATTATGCGCGCTTGCACACACATGCATACACATGCATACACACGCATGCACGCGGTCACACTCTTCTACTTCTACTTCACACAGAGTATATTCTCTCAGAGCAGATTTGCATACTGATTTTGATGTTGCTTGTTGTTTATGTCTCAGATTGCGTGGTGTGACCCAGTTGCTCTGTTCATTTTGTCGCTATTAAAGGAAATCCTATTTTTTCAGCCGAAAGGTGCAGGTTTCCTAATTGCTATAAACTCATGGAACTTTAAAATTTACACGTCAGTACATCTCGTGAATTAGCTGTGCAACATGGGGATGGTTTAATAACTGTGAGGAATTTTAGATTAGAAAATGTAGTCTATGCCTTTTAACATAGTCTCTTACTGACAATAGATCTTCACTTTGACAGTAAAGGACCAAAGCAAAGATGTTTTATATGGATGCAAATTCTAGCCCCAGATAAAACGTTAATAAAATTTAGATTAGAGAGAACAAGAAACTGAAAATGCGGCTATTTGCATAAAATATCCCCTCTTCTAGCCTCAGGTTTTCATTGCTATTTAATTGCTAATTATTGTGTGTATCTACAGTTTGCAAATGGCCATAATTTTATTTTTAAATGCAACAACATCACATTCAGGTTTTTATCACTGATTAATATGCACTTTCAAACCACTACATTAGTAAAGGCTCATGGGTATGCATATTTAATAAGAAAACTATCCTGGCAACAGGTGCATAGTTGCACAACTGAAGTCAAGCAGAAGGTGGGTGTGAAACACTAGAGTGCTGACTGTTGATGTGGTGTCATTATCTCCATCTCTGATTACATGTAATGTCAGATGACACCACCTGAAAGCAAGCTGCTTCAGATTCAATAAATAACAAGATGGAGGCCATTTAAAAGAAGGATAGAAGGATGTTTTGAGTAACTAGTAAAAGGCTTCTGCTGACCTTCCACATTCTTTTTCTCTTTCACAAGCACAGAATTTCAACTTTAACTTGATTTCATTTTTCCTGCATACAACATTTCTCAAAACAGTCAGCTGCTGGCAGAAAGATAGATTGACTGGCCATTTCTCCAAAAACTGTGTGGGGTTTGCTAACACCCACAATTTTGAGAGGTCTCTTGAGTTTATATTCCATTAAACTGCCTCTCTTCAGCCCTGTTTTCTAATATCTCTTCCTATTTTATGATGATATTTTTTTCTCTTTCTTCCTAAAATCAGAGCTGTTAACAGTTTCATGCTTGTTTTCCTCTCATGCTTCTGCTCTGCTTCCCTCTGGTTACACTAACCTCTGACTCCTTCAGACTGGCACTATGAGGGTAAGAGGGCAATCATCTGTTGTCTGTTTTCCTTTTGTATTTTAACATTCCCATATTCTCCCTTTTTGCCATTTCTCTCTACCTCTTCTATGGATGACATTTAATCCTGAGCTTTCCTTACATTGGCTGTGGAGAGCGTTGCCTTGCAGCACCTATTCATCTGGGCTAGACGTTTTCCTTTCTCCTGTCTCCACCTCTCCTGCTGCCCCATCTGCCGTTGTCTGTCAAGCTGCCATTACCTGTGTCCCATGTGCTCGTACCATCTAGCTGCTGTGACCTCCATCTGTGAAGCCATTCTCGTCAGTGCTCTGCTTATGATGTCGCCACATGCTTTCACCACCCTGCTTGTCTGGTGTCACTATCGCACAGTCCATTGCTGCTGATGGTTCTGTGGCAGCAGTCATTGATGCCACCTGTTGTAAAATGATACATCAGCATGACAGCATCTGTGTGATACTGAGAGAAAATGTTGACATTCATTTCCTTACAGCTGCGAAATATGAACAGTGTCAGGTTTTTTTTTATCAATTAATTTGCAATTTTAGCATAATTCTGTGACATACCATATATGAGCACTTTATTTATGATTACTACTGTGACTACTGTACATGTAAATGTAGTGCTGTCACTAGGAGTGATGATACCACCGTAATTTCAGCATTCATTTTTCTTCATGAAATATAAATCTTTAGACATTATTTGAAAATATAATACACTGCTCAAAAAAAGTTTAAGGAACACTTTGAAAACACATCAGATTACAGTAGGCAAAACAAATCATGCTTGATATCTGTACTGATATGCACTGGGTAATGTGTGCTGTCATGAAACTTATCAACCTCACAGGGCTGAAAAAGTGAAAAAAACGGTGTTCTGTCAAAATTTAATTGGATTAACTTAAACATGTCCCCCTATTCTATATAGAACTGCAGGGTTTGCGCACAGCACTCACTAGAGGATGTGAGGCCCTCAGACCAGCCCTCAGACAATCATACCAGTGGCCTGCTGGAGTGCTAATTTTGTAGTGCTCATCCTCTGCAAAGGAGCAGATACTGGTCATGCAGATGGGTTAAGGACCTTCTAGGGCCTGTCCACCTCTCCTGTCTCTTAGAATCTCTTGTTGGAGTTGGACTACCTGTGCAAGGGTCCAGGTATTGCCTCATGCTAACAGTAGTGACACTGACCCTAGCCAAATTGAAAATTAGTTAAAATACAGTTAAAAGATGAGGAGGGGAAAATGCCTCCCCCTTTAAAACCATTCCCATTTTGGGGTTTGTCTCATTGTTGCCCCTCTAGTGCACCTGTTGCTAATGTCATTAACACTAAAGCTGCTGAAACTGATTAACAACCCCCTCTGCTACTTAACTGATTAAGTTAACTGATTGAGTTGATGATGGTAAATGGTAAATGGCCTGTATTTGTATAGCGCTTTTAATAGTTCTTAAGGACCCCAAAGCGCTTTACACATCCAGTCATCCACCCATTCATACACACATTCACAAACTGGTGATGATGAAGTAAATTAAACTGATTAAGTGTTCCTTGAATGTTTTTTTTGTTTGTTTGTTTGTTTTTTTGAGCAGTGTATATATGAAATGATTATATTCCCAGTTTGGTAAGACTGCTATCTCTTAGGTGTTCACTATTGTTTGTTATCATTGTGTCATTCTGGTGATGTAACCAGAATTAAATGAATATCATATGCAGACATAGTTTTTAATTTTTTTTTTTTCTTGCATATGCAGAGTGTAAGCTGTCCCGGCCTGGTCCCCCTGCAACCATAGTCACCGTTGACGAGGAGAGCCCAAATGGTACGTGCCAGTTTCACGCCTATGTTTCTGTCTGTGTTCCCACGTCACAATGTATTCCAATGTATGGTAATTGCTACTGCACTTAAACGTTGTGTATTGCACTGTTGGGATTTGGTACAGAGTGTTTTTTGTCATGAATACATAGATTGGTACTTATATAGCGCAAGCTAAATAAGCCTCATTCAGCCAGTCATACACTCAAGCACTATTTTCTATGCCAAAGTGCTTTTATTATAATATAATTTTTCATCTAGTGTGGACTTGTAGTTTATGGTAAATGGTTCTTATATAGTTCTTTTCTACTCAATCTGAGGACTCAAAGTGCTTTACACAACTTGTACATTGACCCAAGCACTTCCTATCTAAAATTCACACACGCATTCATACTTTGATGGATGCATCGGAGTATGAATGCAGGGTTAGTAGCTTTCCCAAGGACATTTGGCACATAGACTGGAGCAGACTGAGATCGAACTGCCAACTTTCCAGTTAGTAGGTGGCCTGCTCTACCACATGAGCTACAGCCACAGTTGATGGCACTTGATACAGATAGTTGGTTATAAGAGATGTTATGTCTAAGATGTCATAATTTTGATTGTGCTTTAAATTAAAGATCAGTTCCCTGCGTTTTTGATGTGTACATTGGTACTGTTCTCCCAGGGTGAATCAGAAATATGCCTGTGTGTGTGCATCTGAATGAATACAGATGGTGTTTGGCATACAGACGTGATGTGGGGCTCCATTAATGAGTTGTCTGCTCCCTGCGCAGGTTGTATTTGGTATGGTTGTGCTTCAGCAGTACACAAATCACTGAACCATAGATCAGACATGCAGCGTTTGAGTGGGTCAGGTGAAACTGTTCAGCTCCTCCCCTTCTTTTCTCCCTTCATCTTCTCTCTGGCCTCTCCATTAACTGTTTCTACGTTATAGCAGTCTCTGTTTTTTTGTGAGTGTTTGCCGTCTGGATTTTGCTGATGAGTATGTCTTTACATGTAAATATGTGCCTGCATGTGACAACTGTTACTTGGGAGGTGCTATATGTTCACTGAGGGGATGAGAAATGCTTTTCCCTAAATGGAGCAGGTGTGTCTTTGTCTCACTCATCTCTCCCTGCAGATATTAGTACTGCAGGTTAACAGAGTTTAATGAGCTGCTCTCAGTACAGATGGCATCCAGAGCTTATTTATACAGTCAAAATACAATTTCACAGATGCTCCACTTACAGAGTACACTGTATGCACTCTGGGCACTGTTTTTGTTTTTTTTGTTTTTGTTTGTTTTTTATTGCCTGTGTATCTTACAGAGAGGAATCATATGTTCATAAATGCATTCACATTATGTGAATATTTGTATCCCGAGAGTACAAATGACTCTCTGTGTCAGATCAGGTCACCTGTTCATCAGTGCAATAAAAAAACAATTCAGGCCGTCATAGTGTCTCACCTACTCCTTCCTCTGTGCGTGTGTGTGTGTGTGCATGCAGCTGTGATTTGGGGCTTTGATCGATTGCTTGGGGAATTTGTGAGATGGAGGTAGCCAAGCCTGTATCCGAAAGCCTCTCTTGCCCCACATGTGCCTATGCACTGTGTGAGGGATTTGCACTAATCTTCCTCATAAAGCTCTCATTTACCTGGGATATGGGTCTCTTCTGGCTCCACCATCCTTTTATTTATCTCTCTGTGATGAAACAGGCAGAGCCCATCCTCACCATAATGGAATGTAAAACAGGAAACCTGCCGTTATTGACCAAAGCAATTATCCATCTAAATGTGTTTCATTTCTTCTCTTCTGTCACACAGAAACCATACAAATGGCACATAATAAGATCCCATCTCTTCGGAGCATTTGCCTTTACGTTCATTCATGTGTGTGAATGGGAAAGCAAACAACATAATCACTCTTCTGTCTGGCTTTGTTTGGTCAGGGTCAGAAAAGATAGACAAACAAATAAATATATAATCCTCTTCCACCTGTCTTCTCAGAAGAACAAATTTGATCTGAGGCAGAAGAGCCAAGAAAGTATACGGTTCCCTGTGGAGGAGGTGTGCTGCTCAGAAACATAATAACATTTGCAACTGTCAAAGCACTGTATCAGGAGTTGTTCATTTATTGATTGTCTGTGAAGATTTATATTTGACTCAGCTAAGAGGATAGTACTTGGTATGGACGTTGTGAAAGAAGTACATTTTCTTGTCCTTTTTCATTTCGGTTTGCTTTTTTTTTTTTTCTTATTTTTTGTTCTTGGAGGTTCTTATTTTAGAAAAAGGAGATAACTCAGGAGGGGATAGCAGCACAGTTGCCCAAATGAAGCATAACATGTTTAATTTATCTGAGCTGTTGCTTCTGCAGATCCACTGACAGGTGCCAGGCGCAACACATAAAGTCTCACTCACTCCATGAGTCGATCACAATTGGCAAGCTTGTTTTCTATAGGCTCCTTTGCTTATTCAGCCCATGAGCTTAATCCAAAAGCATTTAATCAGATTGGAGAGATTTCTATCTCATTGTTTAGGGGCAGCTGCATATGTGGACAGAGAAAAGAATCGAGTAGAGAGAGAGCTTCCTGCAACAGCAGCGAGGAATCGGAGTATCCATAAATAAGTATGCTCTCTCTGAACTTGGCTCTGTAAATTCACGATTTGTATCAACTGTTGCCTGAAGCGTGTGAATATCCCGTTAACCCCCCTGTTTATCGAGCAGTTTACGTGGTTTAGGAAATCATAAATGAGTGTTACTGAAGGGCTTTCATAAAGGGAAGTCAATCTAGTAAAATCAAATGCAGTGTGCTGCTAAGGTAGATCCAGTCTGAACTCTGATAAGTAGTTGCATTTTGATCAGTGCTGACAGGCACCAACACAATCAAAGTAAAAATCCTCCACAGACACTTCAAGTTGTTACTTATTTGATTGTCATGTAAAGATTTTTATTTTTATTTTATTGCAAGTTACTGTTAATTTGTGTATTTTGTATTTTTTCAAAAGAAAATCTATAATCTATACCTATATATAAAGTATGCTCCACGTTATTACTTAAAAGCTTATTTACTGTTGTTTGATTTTTGGCATCGCTTAATTTTTCAGTAATTTCAAGTAAACATATTTTTATGATGAAATCAGCAATTGTCTGTAATATCGCAGGTTCTTTACCTTGCAATATAAACTGCCTTGAAGCAACTGTTGTTGTGATTTGGTGCTATATAAATAACATTGAATTGAATTTCACCCCATTCTAAGATAACTAAAATGAGCACAAAATCAACCAGTGCAGAGATATAATCTCTCCAGCATGTGCCGGGTCATCCCTGGGGCCTCCTCCAGGACATGCCCAGAACTCCTCACCTAGAAGACTATGACCCTCCTGAACGACCATGCTCCTCACGCTGTCTGAAGGAGAGCCCAATACATTTTGGAGGAAGTTTATTTCTGTATGTATCTTCAGTCTTATTATTCTGGTCACTACCCACAGCTCGTGGTCATAGGAGAGGGTAGGTACAAAGCTAGACCGGTAAATTGACACCTTCACTTTCACGTCCAGCTGTGTATTCACCACAACAGACAGTGTACAGTGTCCATATTACAGCAGACGCTGCTCCAATCTGTCTTTAACCTCCATTCTTCCCTCACTCATGAACAGCACCCTGACATAAACAGCACCCTGACATAAACTCCTTCACCTGGGGCAGCAACTTGTTCCTGACCTGACCAGGCTGAGAACCATGGCCTCAAACTTGGAGTTGCTAATTCTTATTCCAGACACTATCCCAGTCTAAGCTGCAAAAAGCAGAGATGAGATTCTGAGATCCTCAAATTTGACATTGTCAAATTTTTAGGCGGCACCTAAAAGTTCTGTCCATAAATATTATGACTAAAATCTTTGACAAAGGGCAGCCCTGGTGGAGACTGGCACCCAATAAGAATGAGTCTGACTTGTGCCTGACAATGTGACTTGCCTTTACCTGAAACAACAAAAAGCAACAAAAAGCTACAGACACACTATATGCACTATACGTGCTATGCTCACGGCATGTTGTAATGTGACAGGAGAAGCAAACAGTTTCTACCTCCCACCTTTGTTTTCGGGACCAAAGGTAACATCTTTTTTGAGTAGATTTTCCAGCCGATCATTGGGCAGTCACATCAGCAGATAGTGTTTTCCTCACTCCCAGGAGGGTTATTGCTGCTTGGATTGGGGCTTGAGGTGTAGGAACTCTAGTTCCCGTTTCATGTGTGGCACAATCTGGAAATGTCTCCACTCTTTCAGGTAAAAACAGCGATGTCTCTAATGTTCCAGTCTGGGAATTTGCCCATGTAGATAATAATAGAGGCTTTTCCCTTCAAAATGACTGAGGTGTCATTGATACTGTTATCTTATTTTCATTGATACTGTATAATTTAATGTTTGACCCAAAAGGTTTTGGTAAACAGTAATTGCATATATATTTTTCCTTTTATTTTTGGTTTTACTTTTGTTTTTTTCGTCCCGTGGGACGCCAAAATATGTTTTGCAACGGACCAATGAAGGCAAACTTTAAAACGTGACATAATTAGGAACAAACTGAATTAGCCAGTTGACAGGACGAGGGTTAGGATACACTAAATGACAGAAATTCCACAGGTGCATCTGGCACTATTACTTCTGTGCTGCCAAACTGTTAAGAGAGAGAGAGAGAGAGAGACTGAGGAATTTACTTCCTAGTATATCGGGATAGACACCATATGTTGCTGGGAAAACACCAAGTTATGGTTAATTTTGTCTGTATATGTTGCTGAATGAGCTAACCTACTGTAATTATTCAATACAAAGAGTACTAATATTAGCTGATCAACTACATGTAGATGTTATTAAGTCTAAATAATTGCCTGGTTTTCTTTCACTTTTTGTTGTTATAGATACACTTTTACCTCTTTATTTCTGCTTTAATTATATTTAACCCTTTAAAACCGGTCGGAGCGGGCACGCTCTGTTTTGCGTAACTATTTTTAAATCCCGGTAGCTCTGCA